CCGGGGACGTAAGGAAGCAGTCCGTGGAGTGTACGGTTGTCAGCTCAATGACTGGCCTGTCCTCCCAGCCGACGTATCACTGTCGAGGGATGGCAAGAGAACGGGGTAGTTCCGGGATATGGATTTTTTTTGCTGCTCCTTGGGAAGGAGGCTGCTGGGCCAGAAAGCGTAGAAGAATGTTGTTTGCCTCCTGGGGACTGAAGAGGATAGACGAGGAAAGTTTTCTTAAATACGCCATACCATTCTACCAAAAACCACTAGTTGAGCAGGCAGAGGGCGAGTAAACCTTGAATCCGTTCCTGATAGAGACACAACCTTTCCTCATTCTCTTTCCCAACTTTCAGAACGGTCCCTAATCTGACAGGCTAGTAAAATTTACCCGGTCCCTAGCACATTGTCTGAACATTAGCATTCTCACCTATCTGTCTCTACGTGCTGAATTCCAATTTGAGAGCGTCCCGAATTCTTCCTAAAAAGGAGTACCACAGGAGCTGAAGTCCTGTTGTGCCCACGAAATGTGAGCAAAGACCTCTTCAAAAACTGTGTATCACGGGGCTGGGGATATAGCTCAGTGGCATAAGCGCCTGCCTGGCAAGCGCAAGTTCCTGAGTTCGATCCCAGATACCGAGGAAAAAAAAAAAAAAAAAAGGGTGTGTATCAGGCCGGGTGTGGTGGTGCACACCTGTAATCCTAGCACTCCGGAGGCTGAGGCAGGAGGATTGCTGTGAGTTTGAGGCCAGCCTGGGCTACACAGCGAGTTCAAGTCCAGCCTAAACTGTAGTGAAACCCTGTCTCAAAAAACAAACAACAACAAAACCCCCCACAAAAACTGTGTATGTCACCTGTCACTACCAATGCCACTCGCTGCAGAGGCTGGCTGTGAATATCAGGTGCAGGACTTCACAGCGACAGTGTTGGAAATGCTTACTGCAACTATTAATCCAAATTTTCTTTACCTGTCCACACATCTTTATCTAAATTTAAAGACAGTTGGTGCTGGTTTACAAGCTAATCAACACCTTGTTGCCCTACTCCCCACCCAGAATCCTGAGGCCTTAATTAAAATGCGTTGATTCTGGATGCCGGTGGGCATCTGTGGGTGAACTCTCATGTGTGCAGATGGGAGTAGTGCCCAGGACAGCCGGTCCAATCTGGGTTCATTATCCAGGGGTGGTTATTTACGTAGCCATATTCTATTTGACAAGTGTATTATGAGGATCAAATAAGTAGTAAAACTCAGGTGGTTTTTTTGTTTTGTTGAACAGTGATGGAAATTAACTCAAGGCTTCACAAGTGCTAAGCGCAGGTGCTCAACTACTGAGCTACACCCCCCAGCCCCGGAAGTGAAAATCTTTGAAAACAGCAGAATGCAACCTTTCCTCCCCACCCCCTACAGGGCTGAATCCCGGACCTCCTGCGTGCTAGGCAAGCGCTCTACCACTGAACTCCCCCAGCTCTGTTTCCATCTCAAATGTTCTGTTTGGCTACTATACGTTCACGAGGGAGTGGCCTTAGAGATTTCAGCTCGGAGCACTCAGGTGGAGAGAAGAGCGGACACCTCCTGTGCAGATGCCTGGGGCTGGGGGTGGTTAGGGCCTCTTTGCTAAGGTGCCCTCTCCCCCAGAGCTTTAGGAATCCAAGGTGTAGTCAGAGGTAGGAAAGAGGGATGATGAAGATGTTCTGAAAAGAGACCAAATCTCTTGCAGTTTGAACCCATCTGAGGAATGTGATCAGAGGGAGAACCAGAGGGCTGACTACTGAGTGCTGAGTTGTTTGCTATCTTGGAACTCATTCAGTGTGTCTCCCCTACCCCTAACACACCGTCTGGATTGAGAGGCTGAGGCCACCACAGGGCATATACAATCCCAGTAGCAGGCCGGGCATGGCGGCGCACACCTGTAATCCCAGCACTTGGGAGGCTGAGGCAGGAGGATCGTTGCGAGTTCGAGACCAGCCTGGGCTACAAAGTGAGCTCAAGGCCAGCCTGAACTACATAGTGAGACCCTCTCTCAAAAAGACAAAAAAAAAAAAAAAAAATCCCAGTAGCAAGTGCAGCCGACAAAACACATTGGGGGCACCTGGCATGTATCTGTAGGGCAAGGTGTACAAAAGGCTGAAGCAGGAGGATGCCATAGGTGTACGAGGCCAGACTTAGCAACACAGTGAGACTTCAGTTCAGAAAACAGAAAGAAAAAAAGGGAGGGAATGAGGGAACGGAGGCAAAAAGGAAAGAAAGGAAAGGAAGGGAAGGGGGAAAGAGAAGAAAGGTTGGTTACTAAGCTCCTTGGGGGATACTGTGGCTGAGAGCTAAGGAAGCGAAGGGAAGCAGAGGGGAGGGGAGAGAGGAAGGAAGGAAAGTGATTAAGCTCCCTGGGGTATACTGTAGCTGAGGGCTAAGGGGAGGAAGGGAATAAAGGGAGGGAAGAGAGAAGGGAGGAAGGAAGAGAGAAAAGTCACTAAGCTACCCGGAGAGGGCTGGGACTGAGGGCTGCACACCAGCTGTTGTGAAGATCTAGAGAAATGGAGAGGGGAAGAGGCATGGTTAACTCAAGCAGTAAAGGGGACTGCGGGTACAGCTAAGTGGTGGGATGCTTAGCATGCTCCAGGCCCTAGATTCAATCCCCAGCATCAAAACATAAACAGCTCAGGGGTGCAACCTGTAATCTCAGCCACCTGGGAGGCTGAAGCAGAAGGATTAAAAGTCTAAGGCCAGGCTGGACACCTTAGCGAGACCCTGTCTCAAAACTTAAAAAAAATAAAAAATGGGGACGGCTAGGAACATAACTCAGTACAAGGCCCTGCATTCAATCCCGGTACTACAGAATGAGACAACAAAAACAGCAAGCTGGGAATGGTGACACATGCCTGAAATCCCAGCACTCAGGAGGCTGAGGCAGGAGGATCACCAGGAGTTCGAGGCCAGCCAGAACTACATAGTGAGATGTTTTGTTTTGTTTTTCCGGTACCGGGAATCGAACTCACAACGTTGCGCTTCCCAGGCAGGCGCTGTGCCACTGAGCTAAATCCCCAGCCCCTTGTTCTTTTTTTAGGCAGGGTCTTACTATGTAGTTTAGCCAGGCCTTGAACTTACTTTGCAGCCCAAGTTAGCCTTGAACTCAGCGCAATCCTCCTTCCTCAGCCTCCTAAGTGCTGGGATTACAGGTATAGGCCACCACGTCTGGTTGTCAGTGACTTTTATTCTACCCCCAAGAGTAGTGGTTTTCAATACCTAGACTGGGAATGACCAGGGCAGTTTGGGTCAGCACAATTCTCACAGTAGGTCTTGGGTCAGCACAATTCTCACAGTAGGTCTAGGAATACAGTGCTTAACAGATACTCATCGTACAGGTGTCCCATGCATATGCAGCAGGGAGGGTACCACCCTCCAAATCCCCTCATTTCTGGAAAGCATGATGGTAGGTGACCTATCCCAGCTGTGGGAAGCCAGTGGACTATGTGGTCTGCCCACCAAATTGAATGAACATTCTGATTCTCAGGAGGAATTTTCCTCACCCAACCATGATTTCTACTCCACCTAATATTGGCCTGCCCTATCCATCTCTCTTCCCCTTCTAAGCCCTGGTTTAAAATTTAGTTCCTGTCTTTTCTCTCCTTTAATCCTCAAAATAATCCCAAGTCATGATTCTTCCTTCTTGGGACCCAGCTAAAGAGGGAATCTATGGTTGCCAGAAGGGTATGAGCATATCCATCAGTTATTTACAGAAAAGGCAGGAGTCCAATGGGCCAAATCCAACAGGTCTATAGGCATAAATCAAACCGGTTCAGAGTCTCCTCTTATCAAGGGAGCCAAAGCAATTCCTTTAAAACAAGCACAAGGCCAGGCGTGGTGGCGCATGCCTGTAATCCCAGCACTTAGGAGGCTGAGGCAGGAGAATCACTGCAAGTTCAAGAACAGCCTGGGCTACAAAGTGAGCTCAAAGCCAGCCTGAACTGCATAGTGAGACTCTTGTCTCAAAAAGATAAAAACAAACAAAAAATAAGCCAGGGATATAGCTCAGCAGCACAGTGCCTGCACAAGGTTGTGAGTTCAATTCCTGGTACCAAAAAAAAAAAAACAGCAAGGCAGAGTCATCTGTGCCCCACCTTCCTAACACATGACTTCTGCTGTAAAGGTTTTAGACCTAGTAAACTTGGTCTCTGGGCAAGTAATTCCTTTTTGTCTTGGACAGCTTATACCTATAGTGACGAATCTAGTCTGGGTAAGGTGAGGATGTATGACTATCAGAGAATGTACTTGTGCTATATTCTCTAATTTCTACGCTATTAAAGTTCCCTGGGGGAGGGCTGGGGATATAGCTCAGTGGCATAAGTGTCTGCCTGTCAAGCACAAGGTCCTGAGTTGGATTTCCAGCACCAAAAAAAAAAAAAAAAGCTCCCTGGGGGATACTGTGGTTGGGGGCTAGAACTTATAAAGTGGGCAATCTCTTTTGAGACAGGGTCTTGCTATGTAGTTAACAGGTAGCCTTTAACTATGTAGCCCAGCTTGGCCTCAAATTCACAGCTGTCCTCCTCCCTCAGCTTCCTGAGCACTGAGATTATAGGTATATGCCATACCTGACTCAAAATGGGCAATCTTTAAAATGCCTAGGACTAGCCGGGCGTGGTGGCCCACGCCCGTAATCCCTGCACTCAGGAGACTGAGGCAGGAAGATCAGGAGGATCGCTGCAAGTTCGAGGCCAGCTTGGGCTACAAAGTGAACTCAAGGTCAGCCTGAACTGCATAGTGAGACCCTGTCTCAAAAAGACAAAAAAAAAAAAAGTGCCTAGGACTGACTCACTGCAGTCTCCAGAACAAACAGGCTGGGTTACATAGGCCTTGGATGTAGTCGCTGCATCAATTTATTTATTTAATGATAGGGTCTTGCCATGTAGCTCAGGATTGGCCTTGAATTCACAGCCATCTTGCCTCAGCCTCCCAAAAGCTGGGATTACAGGTGTGCACCACCAAGCCTGGCTCCACCAACAATGCTAATTACATCACCAGTTGTGAATAGCATTTATTTCAGAAACTCTGCAGATGTGGTCAAGTTATTCAGTGCACTTTGGCCTCTGCCCAAGGTCTGGCGACACCCCACCCTTCAAATTCATAGTTTAGAGGGGCAGGACAGTTATGGTGGAGAAAATAGAAGGCAGGGACTGAGGGAAGATGGGAACAGAACTCAGGAATCAGGATGAAAGAAGCCAGGCAGGGCCTTGCCAGATGATCTCTTCTCCAAAACTCAGATGTAAATTCTTTCACGATTCAGCCACGAACTCTTTCAATTTCTTTCTGAGACAGGATCTCACTATGCAGTTCAGGCTGGATTTGAACTCACTATGTAGCCTAGATTGGTCTGGAATTTTCAAGGATCCTCCTGCCTCAGCCTCCCAAATGCCAGGATTGTAGGTGAGTGCCACCAGGCTTGGCCCTCAATTTCTTAAGACTTCCACCAAAAATGTTGAGTGCCCACATACATAAGCCTGTCCTGGAAGCTCATAACTGGAAGCAACTCCTGCCTTGGTACTGGCCAAGAAGCTGTGAATAGCTAGAGAACAAGGGGCTGTGAACAGCTAGGAAAAAAAATTATTTTTCAGTATGTACCAGGAAAAAGATACTCAAAATACAAACTACCGCTTCACTGGCACTCAGTGGTACCAGTTCTTGCCAGTCCACTCTCCCTCATCCAGGGTTCTCTCATCTTTTTCATGTTTTTGTTGTTTCTTTTGTTTTTAAGACAGGGTATTGCTGTGTAGTTCAAGGCTGGGCTTGAACTCAGTGATCCTCCTGCCTCAGCCTCCCAGAATGCTGATATTAAAGGCATGCACCATCACACCCAGCCCTGTTCACGTTTGAGTTTCAGAGACCAAAATCCACTAAGGTGGCCTACTTCCTTTTTCTCCAGTGCAGAGCACGGGTCACATAAGTAGTCTTGAGTATGGATAGTTGTCTTTTAACTGGTTTTGAGGGGAAGCATGTCAGCACAACAGCAGAGGTCCCAGAGGACCTCCACCGCGCTCAAAGAGTGAGGCAACGTCACAGAGGCTGCCCCAAGGTGGGAGAATGCAAGGGCAGAGGTGTTTGCTGATCTTTCACTCTGCAAACTGGTCCAGGAACTTGAGGTAGGCCTGGCGCTGAGGTGCAGCGGCTGGAATGAAGTGGCCACCAGAGTGGGTTAGGGTCACGGATCCCGGGAATCGGCTTGCCAGCTGCATACTCTCCTGAGAGGGGATGACTCGATCAGTATCCCCAAAAACATGGAGCGAAGGCAGTGACAAGAGGCTCTGCATGATAGGTTCTCTGAGGCCATGGCCTCGGGGACAGAAACCAGAGATGAGGATGATAAATCGAGGCAAGGGAAAGCGCGGATCACCAGCCTGGCCCAGGGCGCACACAAGGGCTGCCAGTGCAGCCCCCTGGCTGAAGCCAAGGAGTCCATCAAAAGGCCCCAACTTGTCCAGGGCCTGTGCCACCGTCCCCAGGGCTTGCTCCAGGCCGCGGCACACCGTGGGCTCTTCCAGGGCGTTGAAAGCGTCTGCCTCCTCCGAAAACCACCAGCCCCGAGGCCGCTCCTCCGGGGGGCAGGTCCCTAAAGGCAAATGGAAACGGGTGGCATCAGGGCGGGGTCAGCGGGGAGAGGCTGTGAGGGAAATGCGGCAATGAGTAGCTTGGCAAAGAGCGGGGACAGAGGAAAACGGAAGCCGGGGAGCGCAAGGTGGCGTCCGCGCCGAGGGACACGGTGAGAGGGACCCGGGAGGACAGGGTACGTGGGGATGGTAAACGGACGGGGCAGGGCGGAGGACGGGGAACATTCCCAGAGCAGGGCTCGTCTCACCGGAGTCTGTCCCGACACCCTCGGGGCCCGCTGCATCGGGGACTGGGTGGGGACCACTAAGACACACGAGCTCCGCGCGCCCCCGCAACGCCTTCCTCAAAGCTCCGGTCTTCTCGCGGAATCCGCGTTCACTCTGCCGGAAACCCGCCAGGCACAACACGCGAAGGGGCGGCCGCGCGGCCATACTGCCGGGCAGCGGGCTTCAGAGGCACCGGAAGCGGAAGCCTCCAGATCTCTCCCAAAACGGAAGTAGAGGGCGCAAGGGGCGGGACCAAACACCGGCACCACCTTGAAGGAGGCCCTGGAGGAAGCGGGCGTTGCCATAACAATGCGGAGGGCAGGGTGGGGCCAGTAGAGAGGAGGTAACCTGGCAACGCGGAGCGTCTACCTGGGACCGCGGGGCGTCTCAAGGAGCCGGCGTCACCGCCTTCTGGTCTCCGCAGCTGCAACCTTTGCAAGCCGCGCCTGGAGAGGGGCGCGTGGATCCCTCCTGCGCCTGAAGTCGTAGATTTGGGTCAGTCTCACTTCCGTGGCCCCCTCTTCACTTCAGTGCATTTCCCATTGCGGCCGCACAGTGGCGGCCTCGGCTCATGCCGCCGCGGAGGGCGATAGTGCCAAGGCCGCGCCCATGGGCTGCCCTTCCTCCCTCCTTGAAGCCTGGGCTACCTTCCCCGATTCGGGTCGGGCAGGGCCGTGGGGGGTTCGGTCTCGCCCGTGGTTCACTGTCCACGGCCCCAAGGAGCTGCCGGCGTAAAAGTCCATGGGGTAGGGATCCTGCCAGGAAATGTCCCTCAAAGCCACGGCTGCCTGGTGGAGGAAAACAGGACGGTAATACTTGCCAACATTTTCTTGAAGGGGGATTATTGAATTCAGTTCTCACAATGGCCTATGAAAGGTATATTATCCCCATACCGCAGGAAGGAAATGTGAGGCTCAGAGAGGTTAAGCAACTTGCATCAGGCCACACACAGCAGGAAAGTGACACAGCTAAGGGATTCAAGACAGAAGTCAGAACCTGTGAGTAGAATTAAGCACTGCCCAGCCATCTCACTCCACCTCAGAGCCCTATTTGACAGAATGAAGTACAGAGCCTGTTCTCCCATGGATTTTCAAAATTTGGTGTTACCTCATAGGGTGTCAGCAGTGGTTTAGGGAAGGCTGTGCCCCAGTCAATGGAGAGGCGAGGACATGCCACCTGCACCCACCTGGGAAGAGAAGCCTGGTCAGACCTGAGATAGGGGTCTCCCTGCTCCTGGGCAGCATGCTGAAGGACATGACAGTGTCCCCAACATACCCATTAATAATGGGACTTTTCTGTCTTTTTGGAGATAGGGTCTTGCTACGTATAGTTCAGGCTGGCCTTGAGTTCACTGTAGCCCAGGCTGGCCTCAAACTCACAGTAATTGATGTGCTGCGGTTATAGGTTTGTGCTACCAAGCCTGGCAATAATAGGGTTTGTGAATCTTTTTTTTTTTTTGTTCGTCTTTTTAAATCTGAAATTTTTTTTTTTTTTTTGGTACTGGAAATCAAACTCAGGACCTTGCGCTTGCCAGGCAGGCACTTATGCAACTGAGCTATATCCCTGGCTTCTTTTGTCTTTTTAAAACATGGTCTCACTATGCAGTTCAGGCTGGCCTTGAGCTCACTTTGTAGCCCAGGCTGGTCTTGAACTCACAACGATCCTCCTGCCTCAGCCTCCCGAGTGCTGGAATTACAGGCATGTGCCACCACGTCCATCCAGGATTTGTGAATCTTAAAGTAAAGACTTATCACCTATTCCAGTTTAGAATACTATCCTGTTGCTTACTTTCTCTTTTTTTTTGTTTCTTTTTTTGTTTTTTTTTTTTTCCGGTACCGGGAATTGAACTCAAAACCTTGTGCTTGCCAGGCAGGCGCTGTGCCACTAAGCTAAATCCCCAGCCCACTGTTGCTTATATTCTCCTGTTGCTTCCTTTGACTTCACTGAGGGCAGCTCACCTGTGACAGTATTTCCAGAACCAAATTTAGTACCTGGTAGGGTGTGGGCAGAAAGCGCCCCTCAGACTCACCTCACAGAACTACTGTGATGTTGCCATTGCCTCTGAGCCTCAAAGAGAGACAAAGCAAGTGACCCATGACCAAGGGTAGCCCCTGCTGGGGAAATTCTTGGTGAACATTAAAATTTCATGATCATGAAAGCAATTCCCATTGACTGCAGCCTTTGATCTGCTAAGCAGGACCAAGCTCTTAGCCAGAATCAAGCTAGGTAGATACGGAGAAAACTTACACATCCACCCCAGGAAGTAAGCTGAGCTTGCTGGGGAAGATCTCAGAAAGCAGCAGCCTCACGAAGGGAAGTCCCAAAGCTCGAAGTCGAGATTCCAGGTACTGTTTGTGGAGAAGGAGGCCACACTAGGGTCACAATGATCAGCCAAAGCTAAATCCCATAGCTGACTGATTTTCCCAGCTGGAGTTTTGGTTAGCCCCCTCCTCCTGAGGCCATCCCAACCTCTCTGACCTCCAGGATCTTGGGACTGCCCTGACGGCCCAAAGTGCCCAGAATAAGACCCCAGGATTTGGCTGAGCGAGCAGTGGCTATAGCTTCCTGGCGAGCAGCTTGCATGCGCTGGTGGTCATAGTGCTCTCTGGACAGGACTTTGCTGTAGGGGTCATATCTGGAAAAGAAGTTGCCAGGATCACTATGACAGCCACTCCTAAAACTCTTGCCTCATTCAGGTAATTAGGAAATCAGGCCCCAGAAAAGTACAAGGATTGCCAGTGCGAAGATCAGTTCCATAGATGCAGCAGGCAAGAGTTGAGGGTCTTAGGATTTCAGTATGAATCCCAAATGGGCAACAGTAGTCCTGGGTCTAATGCCCAGATGCAGAACCCAAGTGCTCAAGCCTTTAAGACTGGGTGCCATGTAGTGGCTGGGAGCTGAGGAAGTCTCAGTCTGTTGAGGGTCTGAGGGGAGGGAATTTTATCCCTCAATAGCAAGTCAGCCCAGCCCAGCCCATACCGGTAAGCAGGGACATTGGGATTGGCAATCATGACAGACTCCAGATGGAAGCGGCCATCTCCAAGATACCTGCAGGGATGGAAAGAAGCTGTAAGTATGGTGTGGGGCAGCAGAAGAGGCCCATGCTGCTATATGAAAATTAGGACAAGTCATCATTTTCCATTCTGGGGCCTTAGTTTCTATTACATAAAATAAGGAATTCAGCCAAGTGTAGGACCACACACCTGAAATTCTAGTATTCTGGGAGGCCAAGGCAGCAGGACTGCAAGTTCAAGACCAGCCTAGAGGACTTAGTGAGACCCTATTCAAAATAAAAAAGGCTTGGAGGTGCAGCTCAGAGTGAAGACTCTGTTTAATCCCCAGTCCTGAAGTGTGGGACTACTCATCCCTATCTCTCCAGGGTGAACTGGTCCTGAGGACGAGGTGCCCGTGGATCAATAAGAAAAGTAAAAAGAGACAAGAAAAACAAGAGAGGCAAAAGTCTTGGGTCAGGGGGCATACAGCCTCTAGGACTGCCGCCGCTAGCTTCCCGCCTACCAATTTCAGTCACCTTTTATTAAGCGAGAACCTAGGGGGTAGCTAGTACTAGTGGGTGGATACAAAAATGTTTTAGCAAGGGTAATCAAAGGATTATCCTTTTCCACATGTAATCTGAGACATGCCTGTAATCCCAGCACTCAAGAGGCTGAGACAGGAGGATCGTAAACTCATGGTTAAACAAATCATTGTGTCCTCAATGCATTCTAATCAAGGAATGTCCTCCTCCACACTGAAGCGGGGGTGGGGGAGTGTTTGACTTGGGATGCCTGCGAGACCCTCTCCCACAGTTATGTGATGCAGAATCTAAGAACTGCCTCACCCCAGCCTTCTGGAGTAAGAGTACAGGAACAGACAAGGCCATGGTAAAGTCACTTGGGTCTCTATAGAATGTAGTCTACAAGCTGGGGAACAGATTCTTACCAAGCTCAACACAGATTTGGGAAGTAGCGTTCAGGGGGTCACTTGGCTGAAAGTAAGAGTTCAGGGTATACACTGGACACACTTTCCCAAACTAGCTCCTGGATCCAAGTACTGAACTATAAGAGTAGCTACTGCTTCTTAGGACTTATGCCTTCTATTTTCCAGGCTTAGACTAAGTACCTGAAATGTATGTGTTCATGAACTCACCCAGTCCTATCAGGTAATCTCCAGACAATGATAGTGTCCCTCTGCCTTTGCTCTTTTGTTTTGGGGGTGAGAGAACAGGGTCTCACTATGTAGCCCAGGCTGGACTTAAACTTTAAATCCTCTTGCCTTAGCCTTGGAGTACTAAGATTACTGGTATATCCCACCATGGATGGCTTTTTAATATTCCCATTTTACAGAAAATACACTTGAGGTTCAGGGATGTTAAGACACCTGCCCAAAGTTAAGCAGCTGTGAAGCACTATACTTGAGACCTGCTGCCAGGCTTGGCTGCCAGCCTCTACCAAGCATGCCCTAAAAGATGCTATCTAACAGTACCTTTCTAGGCCATGGAAACTCCAGAGCATGAAAGATAATCTGCTCTTGGTAGCCATTTCTCCCCCTCTTGGAGATCACACTTTGTTTTATGAATAGTCAACACTCATGGAATCCCTCCCCCAACACATACCTGTAAGCCCCCAAGGGAAGCATCTGGAGCTCAGGGTTAGAGGCATAGACACATGGGGAATGCCCCTTGGGGAGCAGAGCTGTCAGGCCTGGGATGGGGAGGGCCTGGATGTGGGCCTATGGGCAGGGGTGCCCTATGTGGGTGCAGCAGGCTTATGGGGCCAGCATCCAAAGCCCCAGAGGTAGGACTGCGTCAGGGAGTGCCCCTCCCTCTTTTCCTGTCATTAGCTAGGCACAGGGCTCCCCTCCCCAGTCCCAGGTGGGGGAGCTGTTGGCTCTGAGGCTGGCTGCATTCACACAACATTAAGCATTTCCATTACCTAAAATAATTAGGCAGCAGGAGACACACTGCTCCTGCTTGTTAGTTGTCCGGATGCTAAATTAATGGGGCTGCAGCCCGGGCGTGCCCATCCATCTTCTCCAATTATATTCCCACCATTTCTGTCCCACCTTCAGCCCCTCCCCATTAGGCCCTCTGATTCCTGTCCCCACTTCAGACACAGCCTTCTGATGGTGGACAAAGCCTGGAGAGAGACAGTAAACCTCAAGTGTAGTTCCTTATTTAGTCCCATCTTGCAGGGTGACCTTGGGTGCAGCCTTGATGCAGGTAAGGAGCTTTTTAGACTCAGCTTCCTTTCCTGTATGATGAACCTCAGACTCTTTCCCAGGATATACTTCTTTTTTTGTTTGTTTGTTTTTGTTTTTTTGTTTTTCTCTGGTACCAGGAACCGAACTCACGACCTTGCGCTT